GGGGGGCTCCTTGATGGCCTTGCCTTCATCCTTTCCTGTTCCTTCACACATTTCTCTCCTTTTCTTCTGTCCCCACCCTCAACCTCAATGTAGGAGGATCCAAAGTGGGAATTCCCTCGGAAGAACTTGGTTCTTGGAAAAACCCTGGGAGAAGGCGAATTTGGAAAAGTAGTCAAGGCAACCGCATTCCGTCTGAAGGGCAGAGCAGGGTACACCACTGTGGCTGTGAAGATGCTGAAAGGTACTCATCTAGGCACCTGCATAGGCACATACTGGAGTTACCAGGGTGTGGGGGGCCCTTCCCATTGCTGTTAAGGAGCAGCCACAATCTGGGCATCTCCCACAGACATATGCTAGCTGGGTACATGGCCAGTGGTCCTAGGGAGGCAGAGTAAGGATTTCCTCTTAGAAGGTGCTAAGGATGCTATTTCTGCACTGTTGTCCATGAAGAGTCTGGGGTTTAAAAAACTAACTCATTTTATCCTATCCTCCCAGATATAGAGCACCTATAAAAATTTAAATATAGTATATGATATATAATTATATAAAAATAATATAATTATGTTATAATGGTTATAGTATCAAGTAATATCCTATGTGTAAGCTCTAGATTATGATTTACAACCTATTTTAATGCACCTATATGTCAGTTTCATTGAAATATTTGCAGAATTGAAAACTTAGGACTCAATGGGTTAAAAAGCTCCTTGTTTTTCAGCTGACAGTTGTCCCCACCCAAATCCAGCACATTCATTTCTCTCAGCGAAGTGTCTGCTAGAGTCATGGTAAAGAGATCCCTTATAAGGATTGGCCCAAAATCCCAGCAACCCCTATAGACTTAGGACCAGTCATTCCTTGAGTTTGGTTCTTGATGGGCATGCCCACCTTCCTGCACAACACAGGCAGGACTCTGAGCAGAGGCTGTGGCTGCACTGGGTGGACTACATAGCATAAGGAGTTTCTAAATAGTTCCCTAGACCCTCACACTAGGTTCGAACCCAGATCCTGTGAAAGAGCACAATTAGATCCTTGTAGTCTTAGTGCAGCCCAGCACAGTCCTAGCCCACCCAAATCTAGTCCAAGGAGAGGAGTTCTAAAGTCCTATCTTTCAGCTCTTCCTCCTCTCCAGACAAGTGTGGGACAGAGAAAGTGGTGTGACATATTTTAGCCACAGCTTCTGACTCTACCAGTTCCTCCACTCCTAGGCACCTGATGGTAGCCTGAGCATAGCTCTGGTCACCCCTGGAAGGTTTGTGCTTAGCAGGCCTTTCTGTGAAATCTGGTCATCTGCACAGTGTGCCGAGTACCGTTAGGCTGTCACAGGGGAGTGTGGCCAGCATTCAGAAGGCCCAGTCCAGATGTCCTGATATGCAGCGAAAAGCTAACCTGCCTTACTCAGGTGTGTCCACATGGGTTTTCTGTGGCAACTAGCCCAGTGTGAGCTCCAAAAACACATGTGTGTTCAGGCACATTGGAAATCCCAGTATTCCTGTAGGGCTCCAGGCCCATGTCTCAGACAGGAGAGGAAGCCTAGCCTCACCTTTCTGGTGTTTAGGGACATTGAGGAGTCCTCTCACCTTCCAGAAGGATTAAGGAAGGGGATTTTCTGCAGGCCACTGTCTTCTAAGGACTATTAACTATATCTATAATCATATACTATTAACTATATGATTTTCTGTCAGGCCACTTACACAGCCCAGTCCTGACAAACTTTCTGCAAAAAGGTCTAACTTACACGGGAGCTTTCTCCCTGGGTTCTTATTGCCTGGAGCACCTGAAATCCCTATTGGCTGTGGGGAGCCTGGAGCATCTGGGTGCTACTCTGTGCGGAAGATGATAATTTGTTCCCCACTCAGCATGGCCACACGAGGAGCTTCCAGGAGGACCCATGTGCAACATGCTGTTTGTGCTACATTTCAGAGAATGCCTCCCCCAGTGAGCTGCGGGACCTGCTGTCTGAATTCAACCTCCTGAAGCAGGTCAACCACCCACATGTCATCAAGCTCTATGGGGCCTGCAGCCAGGATGGTAAGGCTCAATAGGCAACTGCTGGGCAGAGGACAGGAGCTCCAGGTGGTTCCATTCTCCCTCTTCTCCCCTTTTCTGTCCTCTCCTTCCCTGTCCCATTTGCCCTTTGGAATCTTGGGCTTCTGGCTCCATCTCTAGCCTGGAGCTTGGGTCTGGCTGTGTCCACTGACTTAGCAGGCACTTTCTGTCCAAAGGGCTCCCACCTGTAGCACTTCCTGGGCCTGCTGGGGCTGCTCAGAGATCTCCCATATGACATCTCAGTTGTCAGCACCTGTTCCAGGCTGAGCACCCAGGGCGGGGAGCTCTAGAATGGACAGTTCATCCTGGAAACTACAGGATACGAGGTGGGCCATGACCTCCTGGTAAACTCTCATAGTAGCCCTGCATAGCAGGAACGATAGCACTGTCTCAGAGAAGGACACAGTATACCACCCCATCTTCTGGTTTTCCAAGCCAGCTGTGCTGCCCTGGAGTTCTAGCCGAGGTCATGTGAAGAGGACAGGGAACAACAGGTAAAAGGCAGCAGGCACCCAGCTCAGTATCATCACAGCTCAGGGCTGGGCCTAGGACAGGACTGCAGCCCTGGGAGCCTCTGAGGGCAGGTGGGAATAGGGTGATGACCTGGGAGCAGAGCCAGGTACAGCCAAGGCAGAGCTATCAGACTTACACAAGGCGGCCTCAACCAGTGCTCCCTAGCTAGTGTTGTGCAGGACCAAAGATTCAGAAAGGCACAGAGTCTTAGTATCAGGGAGGGGTTCCTCCTAGGGCAGGGATGAGCACAGTGGACATCTGTCTCAGGAAGCTTGAAGAAGCTCTCACAGTATTTTGAGGGGGGGGTGCTGGTGCCTACACTGGCATCCTGAAGCCAAGGGAAAGTGAGTCAAGAGTGAATAGGGTCTTCCAGGTCCTCACAGAGCCTCAACTGCTCTCTGCCTAGAACAGTACTCTGCCTGAGCCCACTTGCTGATGGTGGCCTACAGCCTTTCCCTATGCTGCACTCCCAGAAGCCCAGAGCTGGCATGGCTCTACATGCCCACAGGTGCCTCTCTCTGCCCCCAGGGCCACTCCTTCTCATTGTGGAATATGCCAAGTATGGCTCCCTGCGGGGTTTCCTCCGAGACAGCCGCAAAGTGGGGCCCGGCTACATGGGCAGTGGAGGCAGCCGCAATTCCAGCTCCTTGGACCACCCGGATGAGCGGGCACTGACCATGGGTGACCTCATCTCCTTCGCCTGGCAGATCTCAAGGGGCATGCAGTATCTGGCTGAGATGAAGGTGTGTGCCATCGACACTGTTGCTCTAGCCCAACAGGATCTCTACATATCCTGGCCTGGGGGTTCCTGATGTTTTTTTTTTCCTCACAGCTTGTCCATCGGGACTTGGCAGCCAGAAATATCCTGGTTGCTGAGGGCCGGAAGATGAAGATTTCAGATTTTGGGCTGTCTCGAGATGTTTATGAAGAGGATTCTTACGTGAAGAGAAGCAAGGTAATTGTTTGTCCCATCTAGCAACCCTGGATTAGGGGTAGGGTGAGCTGCGGAGGGAGACATGTGGTACTGCTGGGTGTCACAGAATGGGGCGTGCCCATAGAACATCTAGAAAAGATGAAACAGACTTTTAGATGACTGAACTTTTTCTAGACTTCAATCCCAAATCTTCCCTCAGAGACCCCATTCAGGCTCTTACTGTGTCTGATCCTTCTCTTCCTGAGGTCCCTTCATGACTTTTGTAGCCATTAATCGTCACTTTCTAAGGTTAACTAATTAATTCTGTAAAAATAACAATCCCCCTCTCCACAGTTATCCCTCTTGATTCTACAGAATAAAAGGCTACCATCTACCTTCTGTATAACTTTATCTCTTTGCTTCAAGAAAGGTGAAATGAAATAAACAGAAGCTTGGCAACTATTCTTTGCAGAAAGGAATGGGATGCTTCACAAGGAGGGTCTCCCATAGAAGCCTGGGACCTGGGCTGGGCGAGCTCGGAAGTGCAGGGAGTTCCTGAAAGATGGAGTCCAGTTTAGGGTTCTTGGGAACTTCCTCCAAGCCTACAAAAAAAAATGTGGGACATCTGATTTCCCAGCATTGTCCTGTGCCTATGGCAGTTACCTTGACCCTCTTAGTTTTGTTTCTTACTCCCAAATCTTTCCAGTGATGGCCCAGGTGAGGCAAGCTCAAGGGTCCCATTGACTAGGCATTTGGAGAGAACCCCACTCAAAGAAGAAGAAAAAAAGCACACAAAATGCGACTTTTTATGATTCAGTTTTACTCTACAGGGTCAGAAGCAGTTTGTGTTGCCACTTATTGAGAGGACCATGTTTGTCTTCTGAAGTTTCTGTTGTGATAGCATATCCCAGAACTTCTAAAGGGAAGTGGAAGGTGCTGCTCCCTGTACCAGAGATAGTGTGACAGCCTTCCTGTTGACACATGGATACTTCTGGAGGCCTTGTGTCCTCGATGGAGTGGATTGGACAAGGCATCACCCACAAGAGTCATTGCAGCCATCTGAGAGCACAGGCTGCCAGGACTCTGCAGACAGCATTGTTGAGAACACGGTCATGCTTCATTAAGTAAATAAGTCCTAAAGAATATGTTCAAGGGCTGGGAATGTGGCTCAGGTGGTAGCGCGCTCGTCTGGCATGCGTGCGGCCCGGGTTCGATCCTCAGCACCACATACCAACAAGGATGTTGTGTCCGCCAAGAACTAAAAAATAAATATTAAAAAATTCTCTCTCTCTCTCTCTCTCTCTCTCTCTCTCTCTCTCTCTCTCTCTCTCTCTCTCTCCTTTCTCACTCTCTCTTTAAAAAAAAAAAAAAGAATATGTTCAAGAAAAAGAAATTATAGCAAATGTTGGGTTAAAATCCAAGGCATGCATTTTTTAAATTAATTTGTTCTCAAGACTTACAGATGGTACCTACCTATAGTTCCAGCTACTCAGAAGGATCACTTAAGCCCACAGGTTCAAGACCAGCCTGGGCAATATAGCAAGAGCCCATCTAAAAAAAAAAAAAAAAAAAGAAAAGAAAAAAAAAAGAAAGAAAAAGACTTACCCATTGAAAAACTATTCCTCAAGTTGCATTGTAAAAAATTGGTTTCCTGTCATGGGAGATGAGAGAGACACTTATTCAGATATGCCAAAAGGGCACTAGGAAGAGGGAAAATTCAGCCTCAAGAGACATGAACAGATTTCTTCCCTTAAGTCTTCTTCAGAAGAGCCTTTAGAGTTGGATGCTACCAGAAGTCCCCAAGATAGAGCTGGGATGTAGCTCAGTGGTAAAGCACTTGCCTAATATCTGCAAGGCCCTGGGTTCCATTCCCAGCAGGGAGAAAGAAAAGGGGGGGGGAGGAAGAAGTCCCTAAGACAGGGTTAGTTTTTCAAGCACATGTGCCTTGAGAATATCTGGACATATCTTGCTGGAGAATTCTTGGCCCTCTGTTTGCCCCATCCAGGACTTCCCAAAGCCCTCACATTGTTGCTTCTTTGGGTTTTTTTCTTAGCAGAGATGTGGTGCATGACAAATCACCCTGTGTGGCTGTGGGCAGCTGCCTAATTTCTGCCCCCACCTCGAAAAGCTCAGGAAATTCAGGCTGGACCTCCATCTCCTTTGAGGCTGTGCTGTGCATTGTTAATCCTATACTTAGGCCTTGGTACTCAGGATGCCCTCCAGAGCTGTGACTCAAGGGATACGACTAACCTCTTCTTCCACCCTTGGTTTCTAAAGCTTCAGAGTAACATGATTGTCTTTCTTCCACCTCCTCTTTAGGGCCGGATTCCTGTCAAATGGATGGCAATTGAGTCCCTTTTTGATCATATCTACACCACTCAAAGTGATGTGTAAGTGTGGATATTGCCATTCTGGCGTGGGGGTTACAGAGACCACAATGCCCATCTGTGCAACTTGGCCAGGGAACAAGGCTGGCTGCAATACCAGCCATCTACATTGACCCCCTGAGCTGAGGGATTTTAACATATTCATTCAACAATTGGTCAGGCCCAGGGAGCAGTGATGAAAACCAGTGGAATGGGAGCAGTTGGTCAAAAACCTTTCTCCCTGCATTCACCTTTTCCACACCTCCCTCCTCATCTCTGGCCAAACGTGGCCAAACAGTTTCCCTCCTGTGGATCTGTGGCCAGGTGAATTCAGGCAGAGTACCCTGAGCTGTTCCCCCACCCATAAGAGGGACTTGGGGGGAGCTTCCACTTGGAGATCTCTTTACATGAGTTTTTGGGCCAGTATATCTCAAACTGCTCAAAGGTAGGAGCTAAAATTTGTTCTTTCAGGTTGGATGAAACATGATTGATTCTAAAAACATAACATGCTTGCTTCTAAAGTGTTCTGCAATCCATAAATATGCAGATCTTGAATAACATGGCTGCGAAAATGCCATTCTTAAGCAGTTTTAAACAATAGATATCTGATGATGTAAGTTGAATTGAAAAATTCAAAGACAAATACAATGGGAAGATTAAAGTTACTTGGACCAAACTACCCTAGTCACTCCTGCCGGCATCACAGGCTTGGCCATCCAGCATCCTTGGTGGTGTAGGTGTATAGACTTTTTATAAGTGGGCTCCTGTGATGTATGCTATTTTGTGATATTTCTATTCCCACTTCATAGTAAGTTTTCACTAACAGTTTAATATTTTCCTATAACATTTTTCTCCTCTGAGACTTTATGAAAATTTCCTGACACACAGAAATGGTGAAAGGAGTGTTGCCCTTGTAGCTCTTCCATGGCAATGGCTTATGTGAGGGCGTCAGCATCCCTGGGGTTGGGGGCCAAGCAGGCAGTCCTTTCCCAGCTCCATGCTGCATCCATCTGTGCAGCTAGACCCAGGCCGGAATCTGTGCACATTGGGTCATTCTGGCACTGGGGTTGATGGGGTCAGCAGCTGCTGGGGGAATGTGTGTCTGGGTTCCAACCAGGATGCCCAGATGAAGACACTCACTGGTCACTTGCTCACCACAGGTGGTCCTTCGGGGTCCTACTGTGGGAGATCGTGACCCTGGGGGGAAACCCCTACCCTGGGATTCCTCCTGAGCGGCTCTTCAACCTTCTGAAGACAGGCCACCGGATGGAGAGGCCAGACAACTGCAGTGAAGAGATGTGAGCAGGGTTTACAGCTGTCCTCTGACGCGAGCACACTGGGCTTTGGATGGGAGGAGACACCATCACCCATTTCCTCTCCACTCCCGAACAGCCCTGGGCCATCAACCCTAGGAAATCTGGGTAGTGGGAGTGACAGGACGAGGTTAGAGAGGCAGCCTTGGTTATGGGGCAGATACGGGAACCCCTGGCCCCACTGGGAGCTAATGGGCTTTTGGGAACTTTTAAGAATGAATAGGAGCAGGGACCACAATAGTGTGAGCTTAAAGCATCCTGCAGGTGGCTTGAGGAAGAGCATGTGTTGGAGAGTCCCAGGTGGAGGCAGAGTCAGGCAGGGGCTGCCCTAGGGCACTAGAATCATGATTCTTTGTACCAGTTCCAAGAACCCTGGTGGAAAACAGATGAGAGAGGGCCATCTAGTGGCAAAGATGAGTTGGTCCACTCCTGTCACAGTCTGCCCAACTTGGGGCAAGGTGAACCATGCCAGGGCAAGGAGGTACTCCCTCCCTGAATGCCCTGGCTTTCAGTCAGCCTCCCAAGTACACACCCGTATCATAGTTTCAGAGCCCTGTGGCTATGTGCAGGTTTCTGGGAAAGCAGGAAAGGTGAAAGACAAAGATGTGATTGATTGCCAAAAGTTTTGTTCCTTTCCACACCTAAATACCTTAGTTGGTTTATTCTTCATAAGAGTTTTAAGGATTAGCACTTCCTACTCAGCTACCATAGTAGATGCAACATCTGGTTCACTATCTGTCAGTGTCTTTGTAATGAAAGATATGCTAGACCACAGTGCCTGGTGCCCTCAGCCCCTGAGTTCTCAGTGAGGCTCAAAGATATTAACAATGCATAAACATGGGTGAGGTCTGGGAACAGAACCCCCCCAGAGGTATCATGCTGGATGTGGTGGCCCTGCTGGGTGGTCCTGGTGAGACCTGGCCTTGCTGGGTCATCACTACCTCTCTACTATTCCCTTCAGGTACCGTCTGATGCTGCAGTGCTGGAAGCAAGAACCGGACAAGAGGCCAGTGTTTGCTGACATCAGCAAAGACTTGGAGAAGATGATGGTCAAGAGCAGAGTGAGTCTCGGAGCTGTTTCCCTCAGGCAGAGGTGGAGGGGATTCCAGCCTCACCCCCAGAGCACGGGATTTAGGCTCTCTGAGTTCCCAGGGTGAGACCACACTAAGGCTGGCCGGAGGGAGAGAGTCATGCTGTGTATCAAAGGTAGATAGCAGATTGAGCCTGCTTCTCAAGCCAGGCCCCTTGAGCATCTTTTCATCTTGAAAAATACATGATTCTTAGCTTGTCACTTAGGAAGAGCTCCCCAGAGACAGGCATACAAGGAGAATATTCCAAACCAAAGGAGATCCTTTGCTGTAATGAAATAAGAGAAAGTAGAATTGAAGCAGGCATCCCATATGCCTACACCCTGAGGTGTCTGGCTCTGGGGGTGGGCAGTAACTAGGGAATGGTGGGGACTGTGACACCCAGGACCACTCCAGCCAGCCTTTCTAAAGGACCCCTTGCTGTCACCATGTGTGGTCTACAGAAATAGGCTCTCAATCTTCTGAATTTTAAAAGGTTTATGTTAAAGGTGGGTGTAGTGGTGCACATCTGTACTCCTAGCTCCTTGGGAGCCTGAGTCAAGAGTATCACAAGTTTGAGGTCAAACTGGACAACTTAGCAAAATCTTGTCTTAAGATAAAAAGGGCTCAGGACATATAAGACCCTGGCTTCAATCTCAGCACTGCACCAAAAGAGAAAAAAAAGGAAAAGGTTTATATTACATCTGCCAGTTTTTATTGTTAACAACTCATTTAAACTTCCCAAAGCCCAGTGTGGGCCAAAGGAAACTTGCCTGGGGGTCCAGCATCAGCCTGCACGTCTTCAGTTTACAATTCTGTGAGTAAATGAGAAAGTCACCAAAATTTTGGGTCGATATTTATTGAGTGACTATTACGTACTATAATCTATCTTATCTGCAAGTAAACAAGACTAGGCCCAGCCTACTCTTACACTGCTTACATAGAAGTTTCATCTTCACACTGGTAGATTTACTGAAAGTCATTTTCAAATTTAATTGGGTGCACAACCTAGGCCTGCCCTAACAAAACTTAACATTGTTATTACTTGGGCAAATCTCTGATTTCTGTGAGTGCAGGATTGTCCTAAACAGAGGTAGCTGCTGATACCAAAAGATCTGGCCTTCCTAAAACAGTGCTAAGAAACATATAGGGAAATGCTGGAACCCTCTGCACTTGTTTAAGTAGGACAGTATAAGTAACCACATTGTGCTTGGGAGCTGAAGCCTGTAGTCACATCCCATGTAAAACCAATATCAGTGACATATGTCAGATTTCTAAGCCTTGGTATGATATTCTAGATGGCAGAGGCCCTTGGAGGGAAGCTGAAAAGCATCCATCAGATTGAAGCTGCTTCTTGGTATGTGTTGCTTCAGCCTGAGTAATGTGGCCACAGTGAGCTCTCCCAGGGCCTCTCCCAGTTTATAACTAAACTGGTTCCCCAACCCTCTACTCAGAGGTAGGCTGGATGTGGCAGACCAGACTGTATGGCACCTGCTGCCCTGTAGGCCCTGTAGGTACAGTGCTGAGAGAACACATTTGTCTCTAGGAAATGACTTTCCATGGGGAGAGAGGCAGAATAGATAACACCCAGGTCCAGGTAAGAAGGAGCCTAGGGCTCAGTGCCCGCCTCCTGGGTGAGGGGCTTAGGTCTTAAAGAAAGGTCGAGCACAGAGGAGGTGCAGACAATGCCTCTGCCCTGGCATCCAGAGTACTGAGGTGTTTCCAGAAGTGGCCCAGGATGGGGGTGACAGGCCGTTTTTCTCTTCCAGGACTACTTGGACCTTGCTGCATCCACCCCATCTGATTCATTGCTGTATGATGATGGCCTCTCAGAAGAGGAGACACCCCTGGTGGACTGTAATAATGCTCCCCTCTCTCGCACCCTCCCTTCCACATGGATTGAAAACAAACTCTATGGTAGAATTTCACATGCATTTACTAGATTCTAGCAACGTTGTTCCCTTCTGCACTATCTTTACTCTCTGTAATGCTTTTTAAGAGTGTTTCCGATCTGAATGAAACCAAAGTCCACTCTGAACCTTTTTCTTTGTAAATGTCTGACTTTGCATCCAGTTTATATTCAGGCATTTTTGCAACTGTGTCTTTCTAAAAGGATGTGAAAATAAGTGTCATTCCCATAACGCCCAGCGACTTAATATGATAGAGAAGAAACACTTCAGGGCAGAATTCTCAGGGGACATTGAGAAAATGATGAATAAGTGACTTCCAGGGTGGGAAGCAAGATACAGTACTTCTGATTTAGTTACCTGGATAAATTTACCTGATCTGGGGGAAGATTTAAATTAGAAGTGAGCAGATGGCATCCCCGGCCTGCACAGCCGAGGGACCCCCAGGTTCCTCCTGGGCTGGTGAGTGCCTCCATGAGGCTTCCCAAGTCCCCACTCCCAGCCATGTGTCCACCCTCAAGGGCAGTGAACAGCTGGAGCCAAGCAGGCCCTGGGCAGGCATACCAGACTGCTGTTTTCACATCCTTCGCATTCCCCCTTCCCCATCACAACCGTTGTCACTTACAAAGCCAGTGCTAAACACTGGAGCCACTGCTTTTGAAAGAATGTAGTCTGTGGTGCTGTGGCCTTGCGATGGACAGTAAATATGGTTCTTGCCAAAACTCCTTCTATTGTCTTGGATTAAATACTTGAAATTTTTTTCTGCTTCCTAACTTCATCATTGACCATTTTGAAATCTTGGAGTTTCAAGCATTTTTCAAGCTGAGATTGTTCCTCCTGCATGCTACCGAACTCATGGAGTCCTCACTGGCTTTGGGTCTGGCACTACATACATGCCATGTGTGCTGACGATACTGTGGGGTGGCCTGCGTGCACCCTCCATGGGGAAACTCTTCTCCTCCATTATAGGCTGGGATGACAGATGAATAGGCCCCTTTGCATTACAGAATGTTTTATGGAACATTCCCACTGCAGTAAGCCATTTAATGCAGCAATGTGCTGATGCTTATGCTGCTTCAGGAAAAAAGTTAAGCAGTTCAACAAATATGCATCAGATTTGAGAGTCTGAATCTCATAAAAGTCAAAATTGATAGGGTCTATTAAATTACATTTACCAAGAGAGCACATGATATTTCCCCTAAGTAGAACAGTGTTTTGGAAACCTGGAACTCAAAACTGTTACTGTAATTGGCACAGAAAACACGAGTTTGGTTTGAACATCAAAGGGAGTTTTGCCAAGGCCTTACTGTCTGCACATGAAGTTTGGGTTCTTCAGTGCAGAACAAATTATCTGTTTTCATTTTTAGGCATGTCAGACCCGAACTGGCCTGGAGAGAGTCCTGTACCACTCACGAGAGCCGATGGCACTAACACTGGGTTTCCAAGATATGCAAATGATAGTGTATATGCTAACTGGATGGTTTCACCCTCAGCGGCAAAATTAATGGACACGTTTGATAGTTAACATTTCTTTGCGAAAGGTAACGGAATCAGGAGGGGAAGAAATATGCTGACAATGGAAAGCCCACCGGCCCCTTTTTGTGTACATCACACTGGCCAACCTAAGGTCAGTTTCTAGGTGGCAGACTCATTTTCAGTAGTATATTGTAACTGATTTCCAAAGTGGTTTTACTTCCAATAGTTGGGGATTTTCCCTCCTAACAGACATGCCCCACTGGAAGAATGTTCCGAGTCTTAGTGGTTAAATATTCCTTTCTCTTTGGCACCAGGCAGTGCCTCTGTTGGTCTGTGTCCATCATTAACCACCATGCACTCTGTGTTCATATGTGTGGGTCTGCCACTTGCTACCTTGTATAAGAAATTGTACCCGAACTGTTTGATTTTTCTGGTTGCCCAAACAATACAACAAGGTTTAAACATGAAGCACACACACCAAAAAAGGCAGTCTGAAAAAAACTGGCCAAAATGACCTTTGTTCAAAATGAGAGGCAGGTGGAGCCTGGGTGGTGGCATCAAAGCTCCACCAGGGATGTAGGGGAAAGGGGAACCTCAGGATAGGCCTCGGCTCAACATTTGAAATCCTGAGAATGGTTTTTAAAAATCATGTAGCCTTTTTTTAGGAAGATATTTAGTTTTATCATGATTAAAATGATTATCTTAGATTTAGCACAATGGAGAGATTTGATGCCGTCTTTGCTGTGTACATGACGGCTTGAGGAAAAGGGCTCACCAGACATATTTGTCCCCACTGGACTTACTACACTGTCCTCATATGTCTGTACTGGGCGACCACTATTCCTGGACCAGAACGGGATGAAGAAAGAGAGCATGGAGTGAGTGGAGTGTCCTCAGTCCCAAGATTGCTGACAGCAGAGGTCTTTTGCTGTGAATACCGCCATCCTGCAGTGCACCCCACTGTCAAAAATCAGCACCTCATCTTCTGCATTAGGAGTAGGTGGAGCTTGTGCACATTTTATTTGGTATCTTATCCACCCACTCCTAAAGGTACAGTGTGTTAAAAGTAGCATTGACAGGAAACCAAGGACTGCTACACCTCGCTACAATTCTGATGTGAAGACAATGTTTTGGCTCTTATAGAGTTCATGTGAAAAGGCACATGGATGGGCTCTTCCTGTGTTTGTCATTTAATGCTGCTATAACAAGACATTTTGGTTTCTTCAGTTCTGACCATGACTCATACATAAGCTTCTCGTCATTCTCCACCAGTAGATTGTGGTCACAGACACTCAGCACTCCTCCAGGTTTGTGGGGGTGGCTCTTGGGAAGTCCCAGCAGCTCTTTTGGCTGTCCCAGCACTGTCACTTCACAGGAAAGGGTCGCATTACCAAAACACTGCCTGGTCTTCAGACTTAAAGCACTGTGATAGGACTTTTAAATAGTCTCAGTAAAATACTGTATTTTGTAGGCATTTAACAAACACAGTAAAATTATGGCACTTTGTGGCCAAGAAGGCTTGGATGAGTATGTGATAGAGGCTTATGGTATTTGTGAGTACACATGTGTACTCACACATCTAGAGAGAGTTGGAAAATGCTTATTTGGACATGTAACATGGCTTTAATTTGGGCCATTTTTCAGATAGACTGTGAGAACTTCCTTTACAAATATCTGTAGTAGTGGCAAACTTTTGGTTTTCTGATGTGCTTAGTGATAGTTTTAGTAAACGCAGAAATAAGTATAAACTCTCAAATTATTAAAAATAAAAATGCCTACATAGTAAGTGTGAATTGTTACAGCAGGTTTGTTCTCATGGGATAAGAACTGTGGGTCCAAACAGATGATGGGGAATTAACACTTGACTAATAACCAGTTGTCTGTCTATTCCTGAATTATAAAAGTACCCCTACTTGTTAGTCCTATCAGATGAGATTTTCAAATACATAAATACAGAAGTTACTAAGTATTAAGTATTACCAAGTATTAAGTAGCAATCTGTCAGCTATTAAAATTTGTAAAATCCATTTATGAAAAGTTATTAAACCATACCATGTTAACTTGCTTTTGTAATCAAGGTGACTAAGGAAATAATTTCAGTTGTGTAAATAAAATTATGTATCATAAGATGTGTAAAGTTCTTTTCTCTTTTTAACTTCATAGTTGGAAACATCAGATCTTTGATTCTGAAGTTTCCATACAAGTATTAAAATATCCAAGAGAATGCATTATGGTAGCTACTGGGGACTGGATAGTGATCAAGGACCATGGGCCCTTGGTGACTTTACTGGCTCGTCTTGCACAATATGCATTAAAACCTGACACATGGATAATAACTGCCAAAGCTCAGCTAATTCCACCTTTCAAGGAATTCCTTCCTTCAGGCTACTTTCCCTAAGATAAAGAAGAAGCAAAGCTGAGTTTAGGAATTCCAATTCTCTAGCAATTCCTTGCAGCTCATTTCTTGAAACTGGAGTTGAGTTGTATCAAAGAGAATATATTATTGAGTATTAAGTAGCAATCTATATTAAAATTTATAAAATTTACATAGTCATGCATGAAGATCCATTAGAAAAGAAAAATTGCTGTCCTGAACCACTATGGTACTTAACACACTCACTGCTTCTGTTTATGTCTTCTTGGTGTGTATTGGAATTCCTTGAGGTATTACTCCAGTCTGATCAGTTAACAAACATGACTTGTTAGCAACAGAAATCTGACTCTGTGATCACATTGTTCGTTGAACGCCAAGTGTCTACATCATTTCCACTGCACATGTGTGTGTACACACAGGCCTGTGCGGGTATCACCTAGCTGCTGCCCCAGCCCTGCAAGGCCACAGCTCCAGGCCCTCTGTGTCTATAGCTGCTCATAGCTTCCTCTTTCAATCTGGACCATGGAGGCTAGAAAGAAAATGAATGTTATGCTGCACAGGTGACTCTGGGCAATATTTGTCCTCCAACTTCCAATGGACCTTTACTCATAACTATGCATTTTACATATCTAGAGTCAGTTATTCACTTCAGCCTTTATCTAGGATTATTAAGAAACCCAGGCTGAGAAAAGCTAATGATAACATCCCCTTTTGCAAGAGCATAGACCCTCCATGACGAATGTATGTTTTTTTGTTGTTGTTGTTTTCCCTAAAAATTTTTTTTTCACTAGCCTCCATGAAAGATTTCTTCTTGCCAGCTTATTTGGGTGGAAATCTAGATGATTTTTTCTGAAAGCAGGTCTTAAATAAATACTACATGTATAAAAGAAAATTCAAAAGGGAAAGCATAATTTCCACCTGTACAAAGAATGCATTCTCCCATCCCGGGTTCCTCTCCTTCCTTCAAGAATATTCACACATAGCATATTTAGCTGTCCTTGCAACTGGAGGGTTGTTCCAGGAAGTCCTAGGAAATCTGTTCTTCCATGTCTGTGAACAAGGCATAGTAAGAGTGAGGCTGAGGGCACATACAGCCGTGCCCCTCACATTTCCAGTGTAAAACTTGATTTCTGTTCTTATGTACAGTCAGAAAGCCACTTCCCTCTTCTTCACAGCAATGGCATTGACTAGAACTTTGTAGAGTCTCCCATCTCGTTAGGAGAAGAGAACTGGAGCTAGAACTCACATGAGGGGCCATTTTAGCTAAGAACATAGAAAACACAACGTGTAGAGGATGGTTCAGTTTGGGCACATTGCTGTGTCCACAGAGAGGTACAGTGTGTGGCCATCTAAAGTTACAAGGGTGAGCTTCACTTCCAGAGTTAAGGAGGCAAACACAGTGAACAGCACCCACCCACCCACTCCCAAAACATTAGTTAATCTTTGAAACTGTGATATTTTTGAGTGTTATGTCAAGTGATAAGATATTTTTGCAGATGTTATAGACTCTGTGAAATCACAGGACCTGGCCAATTGACATCTCACAGCTAGAGACAAGACAGAGGAATCTAAACAAGGGCTACATCTCATTGTGATGGCTACAGGGACATCAGTATTTCAGGGAACTCAGCTGGACAGCATGGAGGGAGCCTGTGGCCCAAGACCACCCCAGCCACTGTGACTTCAGCAGTTCCCCACCATACCAGGAAAGATCATAAAGCTACATTGAGCAATTCAAGTTAAAAAAAAATGTCAACAAACAAGGTAAGGAAAGTGCATTCTGAAACAAACAAAAAAATTTTTTTCTTTGAGAAGAGTTTCTGTATTTCATACATAAGCAGTACTTTCCATGCGAATTATCAACTTCTTAAATAAAAATATGAAGCTAATTTTAAGTGTCCAAATTTTATCTTTATCATTGCTGTAAAGAGTACCAAAGCAAGCATGTAAGTATGTCCATTTTGACTGCTCTCATTTCTCACTGCCCTCCAATCCTTTTCTGCATTTGCCTATGGAGGAAGGGATCTATGAAGGATTAAGAAGGGTCTAAGTCCAAGTGAAAAAGTACATAAGGCTGCCTGTGTTATCTGAGGCAAGCAACCTTGGCCAGAGGACTGTGGGGACCAGGTGGTGCCTCATCGTGGAGTCTCTCTTCTCACCAAGGCACTCAACTTCTCCATGTTTCATGCCTTTCTTCTGAGAATTTTAAAGAACTTGAGGATTTTTCTGGAAACTGTGGATCCAGGGCCTGGGAAACTGAAAACTTCAATTACTCAGAACCCCATGGTAAAGGAATACATGGAGGATTTGGGGGATTTCATCAGTGTCTGGAAAGAAAGATGAATTACAGTTAGAGACTTTTAAGAATAGGAATGATGTTGTTGATGGAAGAATTCTGACTTCTCACATTTGAAAGAAGTAAAGGGAGTGTCATGGGAAACTGTATCTTTTGGAGATGTCTAAACAATTTGCATATACTGTAGTCACCCTTATTGAAGAGATATGTTCCAAGATCCCCAGGGGGTACCTGAAACCACAGATAGTACCAAACTATGTATCGATAACCAGAATGGACACTAAGTGACTAATGGATGGGTAGTGCATACAGCATATATATGCCAGACAAAGGGATGATTCATGTCCTGAGCATGATGGAGCAAGATGGTAGGAGATGTCATTAGGTGACTCAGAATGGCACACAATCTAAATATGAATTGTTTATTTATGGTTTTCCTTAATATTTTCAGACGATGGTTGATCATGAGTAAATGGAAGCCTGGAAAGCAAAGCCACAGATAAGGGTTAACTTATCTTTTAACTTTGTAGAAATAAAGACTAAAAGGAGAAGCCCTTTATTCTGGTTTTGCTATATTAAGGGAGTCAGCCAGCATCACTTGTCACTTTTTGGCAGAGATTCAAAGGCAGGCAAAAGAATGGGGATGCTTTATAGTGGGTCGGGGGGGATTGAGGTGTGTGAAGAAGGCTTCAGGTATGCTGTGACTAGAGGTTGGTTGGGGAAGCTGTAGGCAGGTTAATTAGCCAAAAGGCATCTTACTGTTACTGGTTTTAAGAAACAGTGGCTTTCTTTGGTTTTTAGTTGGAAATGAAGCAAAAAATAAGGAAGCTGACAGTTATTGACCAATCTCTCTTTGTTCCGGGCCAACAGTTGTGATATTGTGGTTTGGTCTCCTGGGTTGGTTGCTATATTTCATCATGATTTCAATATTTGTCTCCTCCCAAACTCATGCTGATATTTAATTGCCCCATTGTAACATTATAGTATTGCACTTTCTAGCCTACAGAACTGTCAGAATCTATAGAATTTACCTGTATGTGGTGAGGACTAGAATCCTGCTACGTGGCATTTTTAGCACTCTTTCACTAAGCTACACCTCCAACCCAGAAGATACATTTTCACTCATTATAAATTTCCCAGTCTCGGGTATTCTGTTAGACCAGCACAAAATGGACTGAGACCATGGCTTGAGTAGGGAACTCATATCTGAGTCATAATTTTCAGCTTTGGTGATTTACAGAATTAGGGTCTCTATGACAACAAGTCTTGAAAAGCTACTCCTAAAGTGCTTCAGATATTATCTAAAGCAAACAAGATACTCTGTACCTTGGTGCCCTGACCACAAAGGAAGTAGTGTTCAAAAGGAAGACATGGGGAGCCAAGAAAAAGGAGTTGTTCATGACAGTAGGACGGAACTATTAACTGGGTTACATATTCGGGTCTCTATATGATGCTGCAAAAATTTAACTCATGCTATATGGAGGTTGTTCAATTCAAACTAAAATTACCTGGGATCTGATAAACACACTATAATAATTGGTTCTTTTTTGAGGGAGATTTTAGTGAGGTTAGAGATTATTTGGGTGGTGATCATTTATCCATATTGCTACAAGTGGAAATGCTATCAATAGTGATTTCTTGTAGTTTCCTTTGTTGAGACTGGAATTTCTCAGAAGTTTCCATTATGGGGGTCTGATGATGGGTGGCATCTTCAGTAGTCAGGAAGTTCAACGGGCAATAGCTACTATTTGGGATACTTGAAGAATGGTATTAGAATGTATACATACTGATCTAAAAATTATAAATGAGGAAAGAACAGAAAGAAAAAGGGTCTCTTAGTATGTGAGAATCAGAAAATGAGGGGGAAAAAACCCCAGGAATTAGACGGGTATTGATTCAGCATCTTGGGTGGAAATTGTGCACTATCCAAGATCATTGATACGTTCCAAAGATCTTGAGATAGTTATCTGCTCCTAGTGATCAGCTGCTGTAGAAGATCATTGAGAGCTCCCAGTTTGAGGTTTTATAGAAGAACAGTCAAATTCTGTGTAATTCTGGATTGCTTCTTTAGTTGTACAAAGTGAACGCAGGATTGACATCCTGAGGCTTCACTGCTATAAAAATACTCAAATATAAAATACATTCACATCCCATGGAAGGTAGAAGCTGGATAAAATCCATCCAAGGGTGTTCAAGAGCCCTTGAGGCTTTGGTTCCTGGCCACATTATACCTTGAAGTTTTTCAGGATTATATTGTTGACGGGTGACACAAGACTTAGTTGTCTCTCTAAAGCTTCTCCTCCAATATTGATTTAAGCTAGTAATCAGTTTAGCTGGGTGCAATGGCACACTCCTGTAATCCCAGAAACTTAGGAGGCTGAGGCAGGATGATCACAAGTTCAAGGCCAGCCCCAACATTAGTGAAACCCTCAGCAAAGTCAGTGAGAATGGCTTAAACAACAGACACATAAGGCCCAGACCTGTGTTCTAACTTGTGAGTTTCCTTCTTATGGCAGATAGCACTATTAGCTAGAACAACACAAAACAGCAAAATGAAAGCCAGCAAAAGGGATGAAAAGAAATGAGCTGATTCTACCAACGATGCTAAACACGTAGAAATCAGTAACAACTCCTGGGTACCAAGCTGAGCTTAAGCAGATAGGAAGCTCAATGCAAAGAGCAGAGTTCAGGCCCAATACTAACTTAACCAAATTGATGTGGACTCCATAAGCCAAGAATATCCAGGCACCAAGGGCTTCCCTAGTACTACACCTGGGGGAAGGCTAGGGTCTTTGATGAGAAGTAGTATAGAATGTATATTGGGGCCACCAAGGAAAACTGGAAATAAATGAAGTCCACACAAAGAAGAACAAGTAAAGGCTATTTATTCTGAATTTGCTATAGCAAAGGAGTTGGTCACCATCCTTTGCTTTTGGTAGAGATTCACAGTCAGGAAGTGGAACAGAAAAGCTTTATAGTTAAAAAGGGGGGAGGGAGATGGTAGGCCTTCAGATTGAATGTTAGTGGAGAAGTTTTTTTAAAACTACATATTTATGATTTGTATTTTCATACAAGGTAACTTCTTATTTTAAGCCCCAGTGTATCTCCAACAATCTGTCTGAATTATATACTGAAATATATATATGTGTGTATACTTATATCCACATGTACGCATATATGTATTTGAATTATATACCCTCCATATTCAAATAACATACTTTTTGGTACTCAACTTGGCTATGTAAAAAAGATCATAAAAGCTAATGACTTAAATCCTTGATGGAAGAACCTCTTTTGCTTTAAAAACAATTTTAATCATGGGGTGTGGTGGCACACACTTGTAATTCCAGTGGCTTAGGAGGCTGAGGCAGGAGGATCTAGAGTACAAAGCCAGTCTCAGCAACAGAAAGGTGCTAGCAACTCAGTGAGACCCTGTCTGTAAATAAAACAAAATAGGGCTGGGGATGTGGCTCAGCGGTTGAGTGCCCCTGAGTTCAATCCCTGGTACAAAACAACAACAACAACAAAACAAAAAAAAATCCACAAACAATCAATTTTAATCAGTGATTCAAATTGCATTTAAAAATAGGTGATAACTGAGCCTCACCAGCTACTTTGATTTCATGCCAGGTCCCATCCTAGAATAGTTTTGGTATTTTCTTCTCTGAATTTTTGTTTTCTTCACTCTAAAAACTGAAGACCCTGACCTACTCCACAGGGATGTTAGGATAATTAAAAGATTCAGAGGGGCCTAGGGAAATAGCTCATGTAGAGTGCCTTCCTAGCATGTGTACAAGGGCCTGGGTTCAATCCCCAACACCACACACACACACACACACAAAAAAAAAAAAAAAAGGCAGGAAAAACAAGGTATAGAAAACACTGGAGAAGCTCCTTTTGCTCACTGTGTTCTCCAGTGTTTTCAACAAACATGTGGCTATATAGTATGATCAGGAAGAAGGAGGATAATGGAAGGAAAGCAAATACAATAAATGAGACAAAAACTCAGTGTCTATGGCTTGTGGAGGGGGACAAGAAAAGAACATGCTAGACACAGAGGGGAGTGTTCTATCTTGCATTGCAACACACCAAGAAGTGAGGGAGGTTTGAATTTGATTATCATAGATTAGACATTTCCATCTAGAAGGTTTACCAGCATTCATTCATTCATTTACAAATCCCAGAAGATGCAAAGAATGCTAACAATAGGATCAGGCCCTGTGCTTGGTTGGCATGGGGATGCCAGAGAGAGTAGGAGAGGCCATATATGTGCCCTCATGGGAATGGACAATCTGGTCCTATTTTAAGGATTCAGAAGGAAAGAGCAAGCCTAAAAATTTGCTATTACTGAACATGAGACTAAAGAGTGAGGTCCGAGGCCCCTGTATTCATTTGGGGGAAACATCAAATACAGTATCATATTCAAGGGACATGTAATAGACTTAGACTTGAACTGAGAACTTCAAATCTCTAACAGTTCGGTGAGCTGCCATTTCTACTTACTTGTATTGATAATTTATATTTTGTTTTATTCTCCTAAACCTACCAATGTTGTGTTCAGTACCATTTACTAGAGTTTCCCCACCTTCTAATTCTCTCAAGAGAGAATTATTACTAACACACCTTTACATTCACACTCCCAAGTTGGATCATCAGACTTGTGGGATAAATATCAAAGGCAGCATCAGAGAATCAGAGAATAGAGACACTAGAGCTTTACACTTAGCTTACACTAAGTAGATTCACACTAAGCTGATCTGCATACTAGAGCATAACCAGCCAACTAAGCAATTTAATCAGGAGGGGCAGTTAATGTAATCAGACATGCCTTCAGCTCAAGGAGCTAGTCAAGTGGCAGAGATGGTGGGCACCACAGAGATCCCTGCATGTTCTTAAACAACTGAATTTATCGAATACTATGTGCTAAGAGAGGAAAAAGACATAGTGCTTATTTCCCAAAGCTCACAGACCAATTCTGTCTGTGACTAGATTAATTCTTTATTCTTAGGCCGGGTTGAGGGGGAAGAGGTGTTGGAACTATAAAATTTTAGAGTTGCTCAGAAATGACACTAGAGGATTGAGACTTTGATGTTTGGAATAGAATGGATATTCAACAAGCCTGGCTTGGTGGTCCAGACTCTTGAAGGATTTCCCACAGGGCATTCAAGAACATCTGGGCTAAAAACTTCCCAGCACATGTCAGCTAACAAAGACAGCTGTGATTAGAACAAATCCTTCTCCCCTGGAATGCTATTTCTATAGGATGTACTCTACAGTCACCCAGCCTTCCACTCTAACTAATGCATTTAATGATGGTAATAAGCACCAATTGCCTGCCACCTGCCAGGTACAGTGTCAGATATTTCAAATACAAAAGTGCATTTAATCCTCACAACAATTTTAGGAACACATATTACTTTTGTTTCCAAAACACAGCTGAGTAAACTGAGTCTCAGAGAGGCTAAGTCTTGAAGCCAGAATTTGACAGTCAGCATAGATAGGTAAATGGAGTCAGGTTGCTTCAAGGAGGCTAATTTTGGGTGAGTCTGGGAAGTTGGAGACTTTCCCCTGAAGGATTGAAGTGTTAATTCCTTCAGAGTCTTTCTTCCACCCTTATCAAGAACCAGCCCCAGCTCCAACTTGTTGCCAAGGTAACCTGTCCCAGGAATTGCCCCTCCCTACAGGGGCTCTAAGGTGGTTAATGTGTCCTTGGCTGCACCATCCTGCCCTTCCCCCTTCAGCTCACCTGTTTCCCACCTTTTAGCCATCCCACCAGCATTTTTCCTAGGCCTAATCACATACTCAGGAAGGAGAAAGATTAGGGGAAGAGGGCAGAACAAAGGAAGCCTAGGACATATAAAAAGGGCAGAAAACCTTGCTTCTGGGGATAGCAGGATACCAGCTATCCTTTCTCCCTCGTGGGAGAAATCTCTGTTACCCACCACACCCCCTTTTAATTTTTCATTTTGTTTTTATTGTTGTAGTCGGACACATTACCTTTATTTTATTCATTTTTATGTGATGCTGAGGTCCGAACCCAAGGCCCCACGCCTGCGAGGCAAGCGCTCTACCCCTGAGCTACAGTCCTATGTTACCCCTTTTTAAATAAACCTGCTTTATATGCTTGCCTCCTGCTTCTCTGAGGTTCAGACTTCAACATGTGAGGAAGCAGGACTCGTCACCGATAACCGCGGTATCACAGCCGGGTGGAATAAACCCCAGAGCTGGTTTTTAGCACAGTGTTCTGCCCAGACACAAGCAGGCCCTGGTGCTGCCGTGCTCCTCTCACCGGCTCAGTCTGGTACTCTAGAGGACGAAGTGCCTGAAGGATGTTCCTGGAACAATCACTTGAATGAAGGAGGCAGGGGAGAGGGTTTTTCCTCATCTACTAAAATCATACGATCTTGAACTTCAAATCCATTTTCCAGAAAGTGCACTTCAGCTGTCTCATTGAGCATATGAGGAAACTCCAGTCCAGTGAAATGGATGACTAGATCCAAAAGATCACTGGCAGCCCAGAGCCCTCTTGGCTGGAGCCTACTGCTCAGGCCAACATGCCTGAGAATGCTCAGATACCTCTGGAGACTTCAACTCAGCGACTACATCTGCCCTCGTGGCTCCTTGGGGCTCCCGGGACGGGGCTACCAGGGCAGGGCAGCGCTGCCCACGGAGAGCTGGCAGGGTACCTGCGCAGCCAGCCTACAGGCCGGGACTCAGACCAGTCGCTGCAGGTGCTGGCCCGGGCACTCTGCGGGCCTCCACAGGTAGATTTTGGAAGTCCACACCCCTATGTATTTTTTGAACTCAGCAACTCTGGCAGGCCAGTCCCGAGCGGGTCCGAGGCAGTGGGCGGGGCCTGCGGCTGCAGTCTCATTTCCTCGCGCGCGCCGGAAGTGGCCGTCCCTGGCGCGGCGGCGCGCCCGGCGGGTGGGCTGCTGAGGCGGCGGCGGCCCCAGTGCGCGGGGCGCCGCCCATGTGCGCCCGCCGTCCCGGAGGTGGGGGTGGCTTGGTGGCCGCGGTGGACCGAGAGGGCCAGCGCGGTGAGTACCCGGCCACGCCTGAGACTCCCGCCGGCTCGGGCGGAGCGGTGCCGGCCATCGGAATGCGGGCTGGGGTCTGCGGGCACTGGTCCCTGTCAGGTCACATCGGACGGACCCTCCGGGGCCCTGTCCCTGGGTGGTAGCTTCGCGGACAGCCCTCTGGAGTCCGCTCGGATTTCAGGGGAAAGCTGCAGTTTTTTTCCGAGACCGGTGCTGCCAGGGACCTTTGGTTTGCGTGTCAGTGTTTTGTTTTGTTCACTTTTTTTTTTTTTAACTTACTATCTCCTCTCGGTGGATAAACTTTTTAGTCATCTGTTACCACTTCGGGGGGGGGGGGGTTAAAATCGTTTTCTCTGACAGCAGCACTCCCACCTCTTGACAGACATCAGAAGGAACGCCTTTAAAAGATGCACGTTTTGTAGGAATGAGGGGGGTCGAGCATCCCACGGGACAGGGAGCCTCTGGCCTTGTCAAAAAATTCACCTTGAAAATTACTCTATTCTGGAGCAAGTGACAGAGAAGAAATTTGTCAAACATGAAAGCGATGCTCCTTCTTTGGCGATGGTATTGACAGCATGACAATATGATCATGAATTCGAAGCTTTTCCGTTTAAGCCCTTGTTAAACCTGAAGGTATTTTCTAGCCTGCTTTTGAGATAATGTATGCCATGTCGTGGCAGTTCACTGTCATTTTGAAAGCTCCTGGGCCTTCATTTCTGGTGAGATTAATGATATCTTTATATCATTAATGTATTTTAAAAGTACCTTTGGTCTTGGAAGTGAGAAACCAAGTATTTTATGACAGAGAATGTTCGCATTCATTTTGTATTCTTTCTAGTTGTTTAAAGTTGTTATGTGACTAAAAGAATGCAAAAGCTGCCGGATTTGCAATATGTATGGCTCAGATAATTTGAACATAAGTACAATTAGTTCCAAGCGGTTTAGAAACTGCATTTTTTCCTTAACTTTTTTGTAGTTGTATAAAATAACATATTAAGTCAACAAGTACATAAATCTTAATTGTATAACTCAATTAATTTTTACATATTCATTATCTGTTTAATCTCTATATACATCATATTATAACTGAACATTACAGTGTGAACATTTTGATTAAACATTTCAATCATCCTCTGCTTCTTCAAGTCACTTATACTCCTATCCCCAATCTGTATTTTGACTCTTCTCATCAGCTATTAATTTTGTCTATTTTGAGCTTCATATTAATGAAATTCCATTGCTTGTGATAGTATGGTGTCAGTGGTGCTTTTTATTGCTATGCTATATTCCACTCTATGACTACTCTTCTGCTGATGAGCATTTGTGTTTCCAATTTTTATATACTATGTATTTTGTATATTAAGAATGTTATGAACATTCTTGGTGAGCATGTAGATGAATTTGTTAGATGTAGAATGATTGAATCATAAGGTAAGCAGCAAATGACATTTTAACTTATGCGGAACATTCCTTTTTTTAAAAAAAAGTAAAAGAAGCTTTTGTTAAATAATCTAATATTAAGGATGATTAAAAATGGTTGAACTATTATGAGTTCAAGACTTAGGAGATTCCATTACCAAGTTATTATATATATATATATATATATATATATATGTGTGTGTGTGTGTGTGTGTGTGTGTGTATGTATTACACATCTATAACAGCCTTCTTTAGATGGTCATTACTTGTTTATAAGTCTGTTAGATCTGATTATGATCTGACTCTGAAGTTTGGTATAACAAGGAGAAACTGTGTTACTCAAGTTAGAAGTTGTTAGGGGAAATTAAGTAGTTGTTGTTAGGGGAAACAAAACACCACAAGAATATAACTAAAAATGGATTGAAAAATCATGGGATTATAAAACAATGAATTTAAATTGTTATTTTCATGCTGCATGAATACTAAGTATAAATGTAAAATTGAATTATAGGGTTGTTACAAATGTGAATTGTTACAGGAATATAGTTATTTCCATACATATGAAGGTATTAGAATATTTATAATGTGAACTGAAAACAAAAAGCACTAAATAATTGTGGGAAATCAGTGGAACCCCAGACTGAACAAAAACAAGAACTAAGCCTAAAGGAGTTAATGTAAGAAACAGAAGAAAACCTTAAAATAAATATTAGTTATCTTAAATTGGGAGCTTATCCCACTTGTTGAATACATACAGGCTGCCATGAAAAAAAAGCAGTCTGTTATTACTATTAAAACATAGAAAGTGCTGGGCACAGTACTTTCAAGTATTTTGTATAAGAAAACAGTTAACTTATTTCTCAACTCCATGTCACAGATAATTATAGCTAAGAAATTTAATGGAATGTTAAGAAAGGATGCATAAGCTAGAGTAGGTAGAATTTTAAAATCTTTAATAATCTGAATCAAAAATTTAATAATCTAGAGCATGATTTCAAAGTCAGGTTTTTCCCCCCACATCAGACAGGTAATGTGCTAATAATAAAAAAGGTGCATGTCACACAGCACTGAATACCTACATTTACGAACCAAAAAGGATCTCAAAGTTGGTTTTTAATCAACTTTCTGTTGCTGTGACAAAATACTTGAAATATCATCAACTTAAAAGTAGGAAGGGTTTATTTTGGCTCACAGGTTTTAGTACATGGTAAACTGGCCTGTCACTTTGGGGCCTATAGCAAGGCAGTATGTCATGATGGAAGCCCATGGCTGAGGTGGCTTCCTACCTTGTGATAAGCAGGAAGCAAGAGGGACAAGAAACAACTGGAATCCCAATAATCCCTTCAAGAGCAGGCGCCAAAAGACCTAAACTTCCTTCCACTAGGCCCCACCTACTAAAGGTTCTACCACCTCCCAATAGCACCACAGACTAGTGATCACACCCTTCAACACATGGGCTTGTAGGTTACATTTCAGATCCAAAATATAGCAATTGGGAACGTGGGAAGTAGGTTTAGGCAAGTTGGAAGCAGCAAATACTGACCAATTATGTGTTGCAATGAATAATTTAAGTAAATTTAACCAGGAATTTCACTTCCAGGGATTTATCCTATTGATGAAATAACATATATTCAAGTCCTATATGCTAAGGCTGTTCATGCCAAGATGTTTAATAGTGGCATTAGATTTGGAAGGATACACCAAAACCAGAGAAGGGAACTTAGACTCCAGGATAGAAGAGAGACTTTACTGTAAGCCCTTTTATCATTTTTAATCTTTTTATCTCATGTTTTTATTTTTTGATATTTTAGAAGTATAAAAGAATTAGGGCTGGAGTTGTAGCTCCATGATAGAGCACTTGCCTCGCATGTGTGAGACACTGGTTTTGATTCTCAGCACCACGTATAAATAAATAAACAAAATAAAGGTCTATCAACAACTAAAAATATTTTTAAAAAAGAATTATAAGTTGGACTTTGTGGTACATGCATGAGTTCCAGACCAGCCTGAGCAACACAATAAGACCCTGTTTCAAGGAAAAGAAAAAAAATTTTTTTTTCTTTTAGAAGTATTAAAAAAATTAAGGACTTAGAGCTGGGGTTGCCATATCTGGCTGGCCACCTATATTTTTATTTATCTTATTTTTTAGTTTTGGCATCAGGAATTGAACTCAGAAGCACTTAACCACTGAACAACGTTCTCAGCCGTTTTCATTTTTATTTTGAGACAGGGTCTCAATGAGTTGCTTAAGGCTTCACTAAATTGCTAAGGCTGGCCTTGAACTTGCAATACTTCTGCCTCAGCCTCCAAAGTTGTTGAGATTACAGGCATGCACCACCACACAGACCACTGGCCATCTATTTTAATATGACCTGTGACCTAAGGGTAGTTTTTACATTTTTAAATATTTTGGGGAAAAGAGAAAAACAATACTTTATGACATGTGAAGATTATATGAAGTTTGAATTTCAGTGTCCTTTGAAACAAATATGTGTATTAATTCACATATCATCAGCATATGCTTTGCATGCTACAATGGCAGAATTGACTGGTTATAACATTATCTGACCTAAAATGTTGGCTGACCCCTAGTTTGAGGCAAAAAAATAGATTTCTCTATATATAGGAATTTGGTTTGTTATAAAGGTAACTTGCATTTCAAATTAAGGACAGGAGCATGTATTATAATATGAGTGACAAGAAGTGCCTATTTAAGGAAAAAAATTACTTATTTTACATTAGAATTACTTCAGATAGGGAGGCTAAAATTGAAAAGTCATTTAGGAAAAGCTTGATACATTCAACTATTAACAAGAGAGACCAAAATTTGTGTAATAGGAAATTTCCTTTCAGTTTTTTAAAGATATTGCTTCATTGTCTTCTTGTTTGCATTGTTTCCAAGAGTAATCTTCTATAATCTGACATCATTGCCTTTTGTTTCTTATATATGATACATGCTTTTTGTCTGGCTACATTTAAGATTCTCTTGATCATTGAGTTTGAGCAGTTTAATCATCATATGCCTTGGTTTTGTTGTTATTTTGAGATAAGTTCTTGTCGGTTATGTGGCCAGGCTTGAACTTGGAATCCTCCTGCCTGAACTTCCTAAACAGCTGGAATGACAGGTGTGTACCACCTTGCCTGGCTGTATGCCTTGTTTTATTTATGGTTCTTATACTTGAGGTTGATTGAGCTCCTTAAATCTATGTATTCAGTTTTCATCAGATTTGCAAAATGTTCAGCCTTTGAAGTAGTTTCTACTGCTGTGTCTGCAATTCACTTTCTTTTTTTTTTTTTTTGAAACATCTAAACTACTCTTAATCCCATCCAGTGTATTTTTCACCTTGACATTGAAATTTTCATCTCCTAAAGTTTAATTTGGATCTTTTTTTAAATGTCATACGTGTTTCTACTTTTTTTTGAACAGGAACATCTTTTAAAATACAATTATACTGTTTTAATGTCATTTTCTGTGAATTCTCATATTTGTGTCCGTTCTAGGTCAGTTTTAGTCAGTGATTATTTTCGTTATGGCTGATGATTTTTGTTTGAATGTCATATATTGTAAATTTTACTTTGTTTTGTGGTATTTTTATATTTCTATAAATATTCTTGAGGCTTGTGCTGTTAACTTGGAAACAATTTGATCCTTTCATGTTTTGTTTTTAAGATTTGTTGGTAGGACTAGAGCCATGTTTAGAGCTAATTAGTTCCCACCACTGAGGCAAGACATTTTTGAATACTTTACACAATTCCCCATGAATTTTGAGGTTTTTCCAGTTTGTTTGGTGAGAGCACGCCTATTTCTGGCCCTGCATGAATACTAGGTTCTGTGTCCTCAAATTTTTTGTGTGGTCTTTTCCTTAGCCTATTAATTTCTCCATAAGCTTACATTGAACAGGACTCCACTGAATATCCAAAGGATGTCTCTTCTTCAGAACTCTGGAGTTCTCTCTTTTTGTAGCTGTCTCCTTTGAACTCTAGCTGCCTTAGTCTCCTCAGACTGTCAACTCAGGAAATCTGCTGGTCTATGCTTAAGTTCCTCTCCTTGGGCTGGAAACTTAGGCAGTAAATTGGGTAGTCATTTGTGTCTTGTTCCAGGATTGCTGACCTTTTTTACTTGATGTTGAATATCTTGAAAATCGTTGTTTCATATTTTGGGGTCTTTTTGAGGGGGAGGAAATTTTTTTCTTTTTGGTTGTCTGTATATTTCTGAAATCTTTGATTTTTATATTTCATTCCTTTGACAATTCATTTTCTTATCTCTGCAATATCCCTTTCTCTGTAAATAAACCTTATCAGTGATATAAACACATTGTGTAGTATGATGGTGATCAAGATGGAATTTTTTTGTTTTGCCTTTTTGTGGGGCTGGGAATTGAACCCATGGCCTTGTGAGGCAAGCACTGTAGCAGTGAGCACATTCCTCCTAGTCTTTCTAATATTCTTAACATACTTAGAGCTGTTATAAACTAGTCTTCTAGGATTTGGTTGAAGAGTTTCCTACAGGAACTAAACAAGTAAGATTTTAATTGAAATTTCTCATAAAAATAAGACAATCACCACAGAACTATGCAACTAACATTTATATTCTGAGGTAATTACAGCAGCTTTTCTTTCATTTCAGTGGAAAACATTCTGCTATAATATTAGCCTATTAAGTCACAAGTTTTCAATTCTGTGCATAGTGCAATGAAATTGGCACAGGTACATTAAAATTGGTTGGAAATAATAATCTAGAACTTAAATATAATAATTAATATTAAAATTATATTACATATTGTATAATTCTATATTATTATTTTATAATTATATGACATATTATGTAATTCTATACACTATCTAAATTTTTATAGGTGTTCCACATCTGGAATGATGGAGCAAAATGGGTTAAATAGTATGTAAACCATCTCAAATCAAACAGTGCTATCCTGAAAAAACTGTATGGACAATGTATAAAAATACATTTTAAATCAGTGGGTTTTTTCCAGGATTTTTGAATTGCAACCCAGTTATAAATACATTTTACATGAAAAGTTCATACATATGCACATATATAATCACAACACAAAACTTACTACTAAATGTGATTCACGTTGATATTTTTTATTCCGTTGAAAAGTTAACCTTTACGAGTGGCCCATTTAAGTCATAGCTCACAGTATAAAATATATTGTCTGCATACCAAAAAAAAAAAAAAGCTATGAGGTGCCCTATTAGTAAAAGATAGTGGTATTTAGATTATATATTTTTGGTTCTTTTATAAAGTTTCACTCCCAAACTGTTTGAGTATATAATCATACTATGGTTAAGTCTGTCTACCTTAATAATAATTTATACAAATTATGTTTCTACATTTTCAATTTGAGCCTTTCTTTTCCCTAACAAGTAGGCTGATAATAACTTACAAATAGTTAAGAAATTCCTCTCAGTTTTTCTTTTCAAAATGACATTCAAGTGATTTCTTATTGCTAATGATTATAGTTTTGAGGCATGCTAAATTCCTAAAACTAATATTAGCTTTGCATGCTTATTTTTAAATTAGTATTTCTTTTTTCTTTTCTTTGGACTGGGGATTGAACCTGGAGCACTTTACCATCCCCAGTCCCTTTTATTTTTTATTTTGAAACAGGGTTTCACTCAATTGCTTAGGGATTCACTAAGTTACTAAGACTGGCCTTGAACTTGCCCACCCTCCTGCCTCAACCTTCAGTCACTAGGATTACAGGCATGTGCTTCCACACCCAGCTTAGGTAGTATTTCTTGAAACTAAAAATGTCTCCTATTTTTTTCTACGTCATTTAAGATTTACAATCAGTGGGAAAGAGGCTGTTAATAGTAAAAGACTTTATTGTAATGAATTAAATTTTTCAAGATACTTGTTTATTATTTGTTTTATTAAAATAATAAATGGTTAAAGGGAGTTAAGTTAATTATTTGTGGTCTTCTATCCTACATTTTAAATAGATATGTGCCACAAAATGTGTACACTGGAGCATTTTCCACAGAGACATTCAGGCTTTCCTAATCACTAAGAAAGTGACTAAGACTAATGTTTCTCAGTCATCTTCTTCCATAGGTTCTACTGCACTGGAGAAATCATTACCATAAAATATCTGCAGTCAACACATTATCCTTCTTGATAAATTACTTGGTGAGAATGGAAGTTCTTTTGCAGGGAAGGCTTCCCTGCTTCTTCTCTTCTAAGTTTAACCTTCTCTACTTCTGGAATTTAAAATCCTTAGTTTAGAAATAGATACAGAATAGCTTATACAACTAGTTGTAGCATGAAAGGTAGCCTATAATTTTGTAAATTTATAATGGTATTTGAATTTTTTCTCAAACATATTTAAAATATTCATATTTTTTCTTTATATATATAGACACTAAACTTTCCAAACTTGTAGGAAATCTGTTGCTGTGTAATACAGTAAAAAGAATTATGTGATCTAATCTTCCAATAATCTACCAGAGAACTTTGGACATAAAAATGTTTTCTTAATGGTTTTCAGCTGTCTGTGACCTTTTGATATTGCCCCCCACCTCCCGCCACACACATACACTTCCTAGATTGGCTGAGTTGAGCAATAGAAATTAATGAGGTAGAATATTTGAACCAAATAAATTGGAAAAAACTCTCTCCCACGAAAACCATTATTACTATGGTAGAAACAATTTATAGAAATTCAATTCCTAAGTGTATGCTAGTTGAAATATTGTGTTAATACAGAGTTATAAGCAATATAATTAAAATAATTAGAAAATAGTAGAATTTATGTAACAAACTAGAATACAAATCTAAATGTAATCTTAATGTTTCTGTGATTCAGGAGATTATAGGTGGATAGCCATACTGTTTAAAAGTATTATACATAGTATTTTAGAATTTTAAAAGGCATTATAATAATTTCTCCAAGTACTTACCAATATTCTATTTGTGCTTCTAGTGGTGCTCAACATATAGTTTATTGAACATATAAGTTTATTGAAGCTACCAACAGTTTGGTTTTCTTAAGAAAACAAAATTCTGATTGATTGTGATCTGTTTCTTTCAGAAAGCTCACTACCCATATAATGGATTTTATAGTTCAGATTGTTTTATTCTGGATTTCATGGTAACAAAACAGGAAGTATACTTAATTTCTCATTTCTACAAGTAGTCATGACTACTGAGAAAACAATTTTTTTAAGCTACAGCAGAATTCATCTTGGTACCTTTTATGGAAATCCTGATTTTGTTTTTAATTTTGATAACCTTTTGCTAAAGGTATGAAGAAGCAACTTATCTTGTTAGGCAAATACACATTTATAAGAATGTCTAGAAGAGGATCAATCCTTCACACCCGGACCCACTGGCTACTGTTAGGACTGGCTTTGCTCTGTAGTTTGGTATTATTTATGTACCTTCTGGAGTGTGCCCCTCAGACTGATGGAAATGCATCTCTTCCTGGTGTTGTTGGAGAAAATTATGGTAAAGAGTACTATCAAGCCCTCCTACAGGAGCAAGAAGAACATTATCAAACCAGGGCAACCAGTCTGAAACGCCAAATCGCCCAACTAAAACAAGAATTACAAGAAATGAGTGAGAAGATGAAATCATTACAAGAGAGAAAGAATATAGGGGCTAATGGCATAGGCTATCAAGGCAACAAAGAACAAGCACCTAGCGATCTTTTAGAATTTCTTCATTCCCAGATTGACAAAGCTGAAGTTAGCACAGGAGCCAAACTACCCAGTGAGTATGGGGTGATTCCTTTTGAAAGTTTTACTTTAATGAAAGTATTCCAGTTGGAAATGGGTCTCACTCGACATCCTGAAGAGAAGCCAGTTAGAAAAGACAAACGAGATGAATTGACAGACGTTATTGAAGCTGGCTTGGAGGTCATTAATAATCCTGATGAAGATGATGAACAGGAAGATGAGGAGGGTCCCCTGGGAGAGAAACTTATATTTAATGAAAATGACTTCATAGAAGGTAATATGAAAAATAAATTGGTAAATAGTTGTGTTATTATGACAATATGCTATTGTTTATGCTGACATGTCAGTTGTTACACACAGTATTAAAACATTTAAGTTCTTACCTGCTTAATTCCACCAAGAATTTGAAGTGGCTTTTTGGAAAAATGCTATAATGAGATCATAGTAAAATTGAGAATAAGGACCAGGGAAGTACAAGAATATAAACTATTGAAGCTGAAGAGCTCTTTTGAGCAGTGTGTATATTTACATGTGTATGATTTGCATTCCTTGCTTATCTGATCTTGATATTCCTTTTTAAAACATAAAAGTTTTATGTTTTTTAGTCTTAATTTTAACACCTCCTGCTAGATATTTAATTGCAGGCTTAAATAGCAATTTTGGAAATAAATCTTTCTTAAAAGTTCTTTTTGCCTGATTCCATAAGCAGCCTACCACATGCAGGGTTTTTGTTGTTGTTGTTGTTTTGTTTTGTTTTTATTCCAAATTATCATGACTATCACTTATCATACTGTGATATAATATATGGAGGCCTTTGGAAGCCATCAGTCAGGACATAGTGGTTTGCTGGGCAATTTCACCCTGTGGTTCCTTTTTTTTCCTACTATTACTTCCTGACATTTTTTAAGGTTTTATTTTTTTTCTCACAACTCTTCTAATTTTTCTACAAGCTCAACTTTTTGTCTTATTCTATGTTTGTATTTGTGACAGAATTGAAAGATGCAGAGGAAATAAGATAATTAAGTACCATATAAAATGTCTACACATTAGATCTGCCTAAAAAAAAAGGAAGCTGAGCCAGTTTTATATTCTACAACTTCTGTGTATTTTGTAACTCTTCTTTCAGGATATTTTTCTGCATGGAACATATTCCATACGTCACTTTTTCTCCACTATGCCACTACTCTCTCTCCTAAAATAATACTGGCAACCACTGAGTAGATCCTGTTCCTCTTCCAGATTTTAGCTCAGGTGTCACTTCCAGGAAGTCATCTCCAGCTTCAAGTTTAAGATAGCAGTGCTTCCTGTATGCTTTTGTCATATCTACACTGCATCCTCTCTCCTAAGACTTGTTGTAGTATATGTTGTTGCCCATTTTCTGGTTCATTTTCCTGCCTCAGGAGGGTTGGGACAAATCTATCTTATTCACCATTTTATTACCATATATTGACTGAGTGATCCACACATTTGTATGTCTAACTTCTCTCTTGAGTGTCATGCTTAAAAATTAGATTGCTGTGAAAAAGTACTGGAAAACAATATCAACCATATTATATTATGTCCAAGTATAAATATACCACAATGAACCCCATGTTTTTACATAATTATAATCTAATTAAAAAAAGAGTAATAGAAAGGAGACCAGTAGAGAGGAGCTGAGGATCAGATGGAGGGAGGAAGAGAAGGAAAGATGTTGGGAAATGAGATTGATCAAGTTATGTTATGTACATGTACAAATATGGAATAAGGATTCCTACTATTATATAAAATTTTAATGCATTAATAACAAATAATAAACAGCAAAGGCAAAAAAATTAGATTGCCCAGTAGATTTCTATACTTTTATCCTAAAAGCATCTCAAATCACTGTTGATATATAAACTAATTTTTCTTCAACTTCACTATATTCAGTGTATTGTTACTATTTATTTTTCTGTCTTTCTCAAAACTCAGACCATGTTGTCTATTTATATTATTAGTCATCGATATGAAGACACCTGATTCATTTTTGTTGTACTGAACAGAGCAACAGAAGTTTTTTTTAACACTTGGGCTCAGAATTTAATATTGCTTTAAGTAATTTCTTTGTCATATGATTACTGTAATGATAAACTATTATTTTTAAAGTCATATGTATAAAGGAATAATTATCATTTGGAGGGTATTTCATGGGTTTAATAATATAGAAGGGTGATAAGCTTTTTTAAAAAACCCTCTTCTACTTCAAGAATAGTTTTCATTGTCTAGACAATGGGAAAAAATATTTTCACAAATAGACTAAGACTCTATAGATCTGGTTTAATACTTTCAATCTTTGAGTAAAGTCTTGTTGAATTTATAAATTTTGACATGAACTTGACTTTGAAAACTCTTTCCTTTAGGTTATTATCGCACTGAGAGAGATAAGGGAACACAGTATGAACTCTTTTTTAAGAAAGCAGACCTTATGGAATATAGACATGTGACCCTCTTCCGCCCTTTTGGACCTCTCATGAAAGTGAAGAGTGAGATGATTGACATTACTAGATCAATTATTAATATCATTGTGCCACTTGCTGAAAGAACTGAAGCATTTGCACAGTTTATGCAGAACTTCAGGTAATTGTCGGGACTTAATGATTTTGCTAAGTTCTAAAAAAAAAACAATAACATTTTGTACAGATTTGCTTAATTTATTTCCACTGATTACTTAGAATTATAGAATAATTTTATTGCTTTAGGGGAATTTTCCTTTTTTATATTCTCCTTTTTCTTTAAGAATGAATCATATGTTGTATTTCTTGAAATTTTTAACTGTATGGTAAATTGAGGGTGACAACTGTTACAAACTAAATTTGATGGCCTTTATAATAGTGTGTGAATTCATTTTAGGACTAGTTAAATTTTTAAGAATTACTTTATTGAGGCATTTTTGTATACAATAAAATCCATGTAATAAGGATAATTTAAAGGATGTTTTAAGGATAAGAAATCATATTTTCATGACTTTGGACAAATGTATACATTCACAAACTACCACCGCAATCTAGATATAAAGGTTGCTATCTCCCAAGAAAATCCTCTAAAGAACAATTTGAGTTTCAAGGTTGAAATAAATTTAAAAATATAAGCATTCAACAAAAATTTGGAGGAAGTCATTCCATCTTGGAAAGCAGAATATTTTTGGTTTTATTTTTTGGTCATTAAATTTGGATATTTTAAAATGCTGAAGTGTTAAAGAATTAGAATACCTAAGAAAAATAAGGCTTTTGTTTTAAATTAACAATTGTCATTTTTAATTATTCTAATGCACTAGGTTTAGTTTTTTTTAATCCTAATCCTTATTCTCATATTAAAAGATTGGTTAACACCATTCTGCAGCATAATATATGGAAATTGGACTTGTAAATGAGATCTGAAAGGGGCAGTACCAGGGATTGAACTCAAGGGCTCTCAACCACTGAGCCACATCCCCAGTCCTATTTTGTATTTTATTTAAAGACAGGGTCTCACTGAATTGCTTAGTGCCTCATTTTTGCTGAGGCTGGCAATCTCAATCGAAATCGCAATCCTCCTGTCTCAGCCTCCCCAGCCTCTGGGATTATAGTCATGCACTACCTCCCCCCACTTAGATCTGATTTCTTGAAGCTTTGTTTTTTAAATCACCTTTCTTGAAATTACCTACAGAGGCTACATCTTTCTTTACAGTGGATAATCTCAGTGATGGCAAATATTTGTTCCTTGATAACAAATAAAATTTTTGGAATTAGCTAGTTTGAGGACAAAATAATTCTTGATCCAAAACTTAAATATTTGTCTATTTGGTTTTGAACACATTGAACTTACTTCCTTAAATAGTAATCTCAAGGTAAAAGCTTCCCAAATGTTTTGAAATATGAGAGTAATGTTGGATTCCTTCCATAGCCCTTGAGGATTATACTCATTGACATAGGCTTCATGCCTTTACCTAATGCTTCATGTGATTTCATTCTTTATCAGTAGTGCCTCATTCATTTTCTTGTTGAAACTTTATGTGATTGCATTTTGAGTAGTGCCTTATATATGTTCTTGAACAAACTTTATTTTTCAATTCTGTTAGGGATGTTTGTATTCATCAGGACAAGAGGATTCATCTCACAGTGGTGTATTTTGGTAAAGAAGGTCTCTCTAAAGTCAAGTCTATCCTAGAATCTGTCACAAGGTTGGTGAACCATGTCCACAGTAAAATCCTTGTCATATAACTTTATTAGAAAAATAATAATTTCAGACATTTAAAGAGTTAATAATTTTGAATAGTTACTATTAAGAAGAATTTTGAATAACTACAACTAGAAAGTTGACTGAGCATGTGGGTGGTAAATGGTGATGATATATGTTCCTCATTTCACAAGCAACCCTACACAACTCATCTTCCTTTAATTGTTTAGCAGGCAGCCTGGCAAAATCAGGATGCTCTCCCTTTATGGCCCACTTACCTATATGTTTGCTGCTGCTTTCCCTTTTTTTAAATCTCATCCCTGCACTTTGATACCATCTTCTGAGCATGTCAGTTTTCTTTTGTTCCTTCTTCTACCCCTATAAATGATACTTAGGTCCCCCATATCTTTAACAAATAAAAAAAAAAAGAAGAAGAAGAAGACCTGATTCTACAGTATGCAGTATCTACTGTTATGTTTCTGTTCTTTCACAGCCAAACCTCACCGAACAGTAGATCTGTAACTGAGAAGCCCATATAGTACCTGGCACATGGTGGGTGCTCAGGTTTGAATGAATGAATTAATAATCTTTAAAACTTAATTTTTTACTCTTTAGCTTCTCAGCCTTTTTCTCTCTTAAGTTGTAGGTCCAAAGGTACAGCCCTCTACCAAATGCAGCTTTTCTCTGTTATCCTCGTCAATCACTTTTATACATTTGACAGTCTAACCAGGTCTTTCTTCTTGAACCATGCTTATGTTTGTAAAACAAATATTTTGTGAATGTAATATGTCATAACATATACTGGTTGAGTCTTCTCTAATACCAGTTCTGTACACCTTGTTTCTTTACCTTTCTGCTAGTTTTTGGTCACTCCCTAAGTGTTCAGATTTGGCCAGCCTTTCTTCTCCCACCATTCAACTAACATTGATTGAATCCTACTTATTATATTCTGGGGTACACTACTTTGGAGTCTGACTGAGGTAGTTGGAAGAAGACTGAGCATAGCTGAGTACATCCATACCCTGCAGGGACTCTCATAGCTTTGATATATATAAACAGGGTTCATTGTCTTCCCCTTCTCTATACCAGTTCAGTGTGCCCCTCTTTCAGCTCAGAGTCAGACCATTTTCACACGGCCATAGACCTAATGTTTGAGATACAGAGTCTTTTACTCATCTTTACCTGTAATTTTGCCTTTGATGAGTTACTTAGTACTTATGTCAAAGGACCTCTTCTTTCTTCCTTCCTTGCTACTGCCACTATCTACCCCAGTTCCCCCTCCGTTTCTTCCCTCCCTCTCTTCCCTTCTTATTATTTTTCAATTGCCTACTAAGTATCAAGCATTCACCCTGATATTACTGAAGTTGTCTCTATGTTGTAAAGACACTTCTGTGGCATATGGTAGAAACTTACCTTGAGCTTGCTTAAGGAAAATAGGAACAGTATTAAAGAAACTTGAACACCTCCCAGAAATGAAAGGATTGTTGTAACCAAATTTGGAAAAGAAAAATAAAAACAACTTTAGGTCTCAGTGACTGGAACCAGAGAATTAAATACCATCAAAATTCTCTTGTCATTATCTTGTCTGTTTTCTCTGCATGTTGACTTCATTCTCCTGTTGCAGATTGGCTTCTTCCACATGGTGAGGGATATGGCTGTTGGCGGCTCTGGGCTCACATCTTCTCAGCTTTGCCATCAGAGAGGAAAGAGCTTTCTCCCAGCTCCCGTTGAGGAAATCCCAGGAAAGGACATTTTGCCCACTCTTGAGCCAATCACATTGGCCAGGTGGGGTGGGGGTTTTGTGATTGACCCCACTTGAGCCTGGTCCCCACTCCTAGGACATTATGTGGTTGGGCCAGGTAGAGTGAAGGGTATTCTGTGATCAGTGTTTTACTTGGTACTGGGCATGTGGGGTGGCAATGGACAGTTTCCACAAAAGAAGGGAAAGATTTATATGACGTAAGATAAGGAGAAGAATATGGACACTCAGAACACTTAGAGTCCAATCCATGCATTATTTGAGCTTTTACTTCCATCTCTCCATTATCTAAGCTATACTGTTGTAGGAGTAATCTTCCTCACATGTTCCTGTTTTTGATTCAACTGTATCCCTAGTGCAGTGGTTCTCTAGCTTTAGTGTCAGAGGCACCTGGAGGGCTTACTGAAACACAGAGACTTGGTTCCACCCTTGGCCTCTGAGTCAGTGTCTGAGGTGGAACCTGAAAATTTGCATCTAATATGGTGCTAGGGAGTGCTGGTGCTGTGGGTTTGAGGGACTCGGGGTGAGAACCACTGTCCTAGCAGAAAACCTTGCTGACTCCCCCCTTGTCTTTAGGATACTGACCAAGTTCTTTAACTTTGCATGATAGGTGTACCTCAATCTGAGCCTCCTCTCATTGTTCCCATGTTAGGGTCCCTTTGTTCCCATCTGATTTGTCTGACCTCTAAATGCTTTCTTTCTTACCTCTTTCACTTTTGAGAACAATTATTTGGAATGACCTGTACCCTTACCACTGACTTCAGGATTTTAACCCAGGCATAACTCAAGTTCTGCTTCTAATATCTTCTCTAACTACTCCATATATAAGCAATCTCTTCCCAGACCTGCTATTCATTTATTCATTCATTCATTTCAGCAAATACATATTGAACTCCTACTCTGTGAGGAGCACTGTGTGCATGGTAATGAACAAAACAAAATCCCTACTCTCATGGAGTCAGGAAGACACTCACACAAACATGTCTGGTGATACTAAGGAAAATAGCCAGGGAAGAGGATGGAAATTAAAGAGTGGGAGATTGGAATACTTCTGAAATGGTATCTGGAAATATCCCCCTGATAAGGAGGTGTTTATGCAGAGACCTAAAAGATATCAGAAAAGCTCTCTTTGTGTGTATCATCTATCCCCAGAATTTATTATTATCATCATCATCATCATCATCATCATCATCATCATCATCAAATATTATGGCTATTTTTTCATGTGTGTATTTCTTATCTCCCCAGTAGGTTTTTAAGATTTTAAGGGTCTGTGGCCACTTGGTAACTGGAAATCTCATACCATACCACAAGCATATTTCCTCATATGTGGGAAATTAGTGAATATCTGTCCCTTTCCCTTGTGTGAATATAGAACCAACATAATAAAATATTTGAAATATAAGACATTTTGTAAGTTCTGTTGAAGAAAAAGCATTGTTAACTTTAAGTGGGACTTAGCATTTGTTGTATGTGCTTTCCTCATAGTGAGTCTAATTTTCACAATTACACCTTGGTTTCATTGAATGAAGAATTTAATCGTGGACGAGGACTCAATGTGGGTGCCAGAGCTTGGGACAAGGGAGAGGTCTTGATGTTTTTCTGTGATGTTGACATATTTTTCTCAGCCGAATTCCTTAACAGCTGCCGATTAAATGCTGAGCCAGGTGCGTAAAACGTTGGTAGATGAGCTGAATTTAGAATTTAGAACAGCATTGGCATGTCCCATGTTTTGAATCAAGTTAATTTGAGAAAAGAAAATTTTAATTAAACGCTAGGATGTTTTTTCTTGTTAGGTATAATTTAACTGAAATACATAATTTAATTGGAAAATTTGACCCTCTGAAATTCATATCTTTTGTTCTCTTGGAACCAAATTCTATTGGCTACATTTGAAGCCAAATAAAGAAGGCCAGGAATAGAAGACTGGAAATTGATGAGGAGGAAGCAACTCAGGTCAGAAAAAGAACCATACAAATGGTGTGGAGATATGAGAGTGAGAAATATCCAGTTTCAGGCAGATAGTCCACCCCCATACACGTGCATGTGCACACATCTACACATGTGCACACTCATGCAGAGGTCTGGATACAGGTAGTATTTGGTCTCCAGACTATGCATTTTGGGGTTGTTTCCTATACTTTGCTTTATGCTGTAGATATTTTGAAAATAAATGAGCAAATGACAGTTTTATAAATCAAATTTTATTTTAAATTTAAAATCAAAAGTTTTCTGTATTAAAGAGTCTCAACAGAAAAATAAGTTCAGTAAATATATATTATATAACATGGTGATTACAGTTAGTGACAATGTGTTATATACTTGAAAATTGCTAAGAGAATAGATTTTAAATGTTCTTACCATAATAAAAAGTGTACGAGGTAATAGTTAATTGGCTTGGTTTAGTCAATTCACAGAATATACATACATCAAAACATTATGTTATGTACCATAAATATATATATTTTTTCAATTAAATCATTTTTAAATAAAAGAATTTCATATTAAATGTTTTTATGTGGAACTATTCCTATACAAAAATGACTAATTTCTTATTAATGAGTTTGATTGGGGAAAGTTGTCAGGAGCTCTCTCAGAATCCATGAGTAAATGTGGGTTAGATATATTTTTTTACTTAAGACAGCATGAAATTAAAATATGGAAGTTGAAGGAGACATATTTGCTCAGTGTAAAAACAAATATTTTTATATCCAGAAATAGACCATCCTCTGAGAAGTTGAGCATCCCTATCCCTTAAGTGAGTGTGAATGAAGGTGTCATGTTCATCATTTATGCATTTCTTATAGTAAAAAGGCTGCTGTCACTTCTAAGCTGCTTGACGGTTTTTGAGCACTTCATGCTACCATGATTGAATTCAGTCATATCAGGGTTTCTCTTTTGAGGGCAAATGGGCTAGTTATCCTTTAAGTCCTTAAGATGCTATCAGTTTGAAAGCTAATGCCAAGGTCTTCTGTAAGGGCTATTAACATCAGATATTTTTAATCCTTATCTAACCCAGCTTTTCCAGATCTTGGTTTAAATCTGTCTGCAGTTCTGTTTTAATTATTTCCTACATATCTATGCATTGTACAGTATTCTCTGTATTTTCAATTTTTTAATATTTATATTTTTAGTTGTAATTGGATACAATGCTTTTATTTTATTTATTCATTTTTATGTGGTGCTGAGGATTGAACCCAGGGCCTCACATGTGCTAGGCGAGCACTTTACCACTGAGCTACAACCCCAGCCCTATTTACTGTTTTTGATTATTCTGTTTGAAGGGTAGATTTAACTGAAGTTTCTAAGTTTTTGGTATTGTCAATTATTAATCTACATCTAGTGCTGCTAATTAGATGAAATAATGAGTAATAGGTGGGTCACCTAATTAATAGCTCAGAGAATACATTTGTGTATCTCCCCAAAGTTCAAGGGAATAAACATATGAAGCATCCTTTAGTCTGTTTTAATCTCTGTTCTTTTGCAGTTGTGTTTTCATAGCCTGACCTACCAATATGTCACAAAATCATCATCATGTTCATCAAATTGACATAATGTTCTATAGATTGAATATTGATAAAATAAATATTGCTAAAATAAAATCATGTGATTACAAAAGGACTTTAATAAAGTCTCAATATATAGAGAGTAATAAAGATCAATTCTTCATCTTATAACTTTCTTGTATGATATAAACATATATTTTAATTTATAGGTAAAAAAGTGTTTTACCCTGTGGTGTTCAGTCTTTACAATCCTGCCATCGTTTATGCCAACCAGGATGCACCGCCACCTGTGGAGCAGCAGCTGGTAAGACTTTTACATTGCCAGTTAGGAAAGGCTGTTTTTTAAGTTTGTTGTACAAATAGGAAACAGAGTTTCAATTATTATAAACACATTCCCATGTCTCTTTCACACTTCCAATCCCCAGTAATATGCCTTATTGCTTCAAAATTGTCGGCTGGCAAGGGAGAAGGGGTTGGGAAAAGTTAGATTACAAAGAAAAACTTCATATTCTGGAATTTGAAATTATATGTTTTTGCCAAGTTATTTTTACTAATACTAAAAGTTTAATTTTTCAAAACTCTACTGACCAGGGGTGGGCATATAGCTCTGTGATAGAATGCCTACCTAGCACGCAAGAGGCCCTGCACTGGGAAAAACAAAAACCTCCACTAACTAGAAATTAAAACTCCTCTGCCAAATCAACTAAGAAGAAAAATTATACTAAGGAAATTACTTAGACAATCATATATCAAAACTTATGGTTGTTACCAAACTGTACTTACATATGTCATTTTAATTTTTTAAATAAACATTATTTTGGAATAATTGAAGTTTACAAAGAAAGTCAAGAGTTCCTGTAAGTCCAGCTTCCCTTAATTTTTAAATAACCATAGTACATTTGTCAGAATTAAGAAATTACTACTGGTGAGTTACTGCTAACTATACTACAGATTTTATTAGAATTTTACCATTTTTCCTACTGGTCTCCTTTTTCTGCTCCAGGATCCAGTCTATGATACCAAATTTCACATAGTATAATCTTTTAACGTTAGAGTTAAGAAAAAGTAAAAACAAATGAACTAAATCATCAATTGAAAACTCCAAGGAAAGCAGAAGGAAAGAAAGATAAAGGTAGAAATGAATGAAGTAAAAATAGGTTGACAAATATAGGAGCTTATTGTTTATGTGCAAAAAATAGGTTTTTAAATATAAAGTGGGCAGGGGCTGGGGCTATGGCTTAGTGGTAGCATACTTGCCTGGCATGTGTGAGACACTGGGTTCAATTCTCAGCACTGCATATAAATAAATAAATAAAGATCTATCAACAAAAAAATATTTTAAAAAAAATATATATACATATATGTGTGTGTGTGTACATATGTGTGTGTGTGTGTGTGTGTATAGTGGGAAAATATTGGGTAAAAAAACTACATTGAAAATTAGAGGGCTGGAGATGTGGCTCAAGCAGTAGCGCACTCGCCTGGCATGAGTGCGGCCCGGGTTCGATCCTCAGCACCACATACAAAGATGTTGTGTCTGCCAAATACTAAAAAATAAATATTAAAAATATTCTCTCTCTCTTTTCCTCCCTCTCTCTCACTCTCTCTTTAAAAAAAAAAGAAAATTAGAATATGAATACATGACAGATTAAGTTTATATAGTAAGCTGAAAAATTCTAAATAGAAGGAAAGATTTGAAAATCTATAAAATATTAAACAAGAGAAGTTCTTGTTAGAATTTTATAAATAAGAAGTGAAGAAACTTAAAAGCCTTTTAAAAATTAGAGCAGTTATCAAAAAGTTACATTGTATATACATTTTTATTGATGAGTTTTTCTATACTTTCAAATAGGTAATACTAACACATTATAATCTACTTAAAATATTTTAACTTGATATCAGTACATAGTAGAGCATGCACACATACACACACACACACACATACGTACTTCCCTCCACTTTATCTGTAGGCCAGTATTACTTAGGAATATTGACACTAAATTAGGACAAACAGCACTGACATCTACCTTATATAATACCCCAAATCCTTTTAAAATGAGTTATTAAAAAGAAATAGGTGCATTAATATTGGAAAATGAGAAAAGCCATCAGTAAACAAATTTTGAGAAACCTCTATCAGATTATAACATTTGGCATAGGATTGCTAGAGGAGAGAACAGTCTAGAACATGTTCAGGAGAGCAGTGAGTAAAGATGAATCTGCTTTGCATTCTCTGAGCTCATAGCAGATAGAGAGTAGAGGAAACCCATGCTGAACATCATAAGGATCAACCATTAGGCTACAGAAGTGCCTGTGGTCCCTGGAGCTGGAGAGGCAGGTCAGGGTGGATAGGAAACCCCACTAGACTCCAAAGATGAGCCACTGTGAGCACATTCTTCCTGTGGCCCTGTTATGCCCCTATTCTACTATTACTGGAGATAGTCCCCCATAATCATGACTGAAAGCCATGGATTTTTGAAACAAAAATAAGTAGCAATTAACCAAGACTAATCAAATGTTTAAGGAAAAACAGTACTATTAAATTTTAATAAACAGAAAAATCAACACATGAGAATATGAATGTAGGTATAAAATAACTTTAAAATACATATTATCTTTATGATCATTAGAGAAAACATTAAAATCTTAAAATCTTATGATTTCTTAGTAAAAAAGGACCAGAACTTGGAAATTATGAAAAAATAGAAATCAGTAAATGAGCTGAAAAGTGGAATCGTCACTGATGAAATGGCACATATGACCAAGAAATAATGAGAGAGAAAAACTGAGACATGGAGAATCAGTTCAGAAGCTCTAAAATTGTTTAATAGAAGTTCCAGAAAGAAAACAAAAGAGAATGGGGCAGAGAGGATAGGGAAGAAACCCTGGCAGAGATAAGGAAAAATAAATATTCCTGGCATTTGAGAGCAATCAATGGAAAATCCTGGTACCTTCCAGAAACTCTAAAAATAGCATAACCCAACTTGTCCACAAAGAAGTAAGAATCAGATTGACATTAACCTTCTTTTTGATAATATTGATGCTAAAAAAAATAAGCAACACCATGAAAATTCTGAAAAATAATCTTTGATTCTAGAGTCCATATTTGACCTACTATTTGAAGGTAAAATAGACATTTTGGACACTGAAGACTCAAAATTTATTTCTCACAGATCCCTTTTTATCTATTTTAACAGAATGAAAAATGAGAGAGGAAGACTAGACAATAAAATAGTGATCAACAAACAACAACCAAAAAACAAAACTTTCGATTAAGTCTAAATAGTTGTGCTGAAACACATATTTTGCTTTTGAAAAAGCAAATAGCAATTTGGGATTAAAAAATCAAAGGATATATAAATGGCATATAGGTGTGTTTTACCCAGCTCTCTGAGCTAAGAGGATCTAAACCAGTGACACCCCAATAGTAACAAACATAACCAGTTCCCAAATCTTGTTTTTTAATATCATTCTCCAATAAAAGGAACCAAGGCTCCTTGGAAAAATAATTGATTGTAGGACTAGAAAAGGAAATATACAAGAGGAGCTTGGAGCATTTTCTAGCACCAATAAATAACAGTCTTAAATGACAGAGGATGGAGATGTGTCAGAGAGTCCCAGGATCCAACTAAAAATCCTCCTATGGAATAACTTGAGCAACAAAATAACAAAATAATCTAGACCTGAATTATAACCTAAAGCATAAAATAAATATCTGTAAGTCCATCCTGAGATAAGTGAGTAAATAAATAATAATAATAAATGAATGGATAAGTTATATTAGGTTAATAGGGAAAAAGAGATGAATCTTCCTTACAGAATTTCAGAGTAGTAAATACCCCTCTTCCAGAAAGTGGAGCTAGGTAACTCACTCACAAATTATATAATATAAAAAGAGAAAATTAACTTTTTTAAAATTTATTTTTAACTGATGCATAAAAATTACACATACCGAGGCTGGGGATATAGCTCAGTTGGTAGATAAAAATAAAAATATTGTGTCCAACTATATCTTGCATGTACAAGGCCCCAGGTTCAATCTCTAGCACCAAAAAAAAAATACACATATTTATGGGTATCATAATATTTCCATAGAGGTATACATGGTGTTATGTTCAAATCAGGATAAACACATGTATTTAAACATCTATTGTTTCTTTTTTTTTAAAGTTGGAAACAACACCTTTATTTTATTTATTTATTTTTTATATGTTGCTGAGGATCAAATCCAGTACCTCACATGTGCTAGGCAAGCACTCTACCGCTAAGCCACAACCCCAGCCCCCATCTATTGTTTCTTTATGGTGAAAGCATTTAAAATTCTTTCTTCTAGATTTTTTAAATATGCAGTACATTTTTGTAATTTATTGTCACCCTGCTGTGCAATAGCACATCACAGCTTCTTATTCTTTTTTTTTTTTTTTTTATAACTTAGTACTAACTAATCAACCTTTTCCCATCCCTTCTTTCTCCCAACTCTCCCCAACCTCAGGTAACCACCATTCTACTTTCAACTTCTAAGTTAAACTTTTTTATATTTCACATGTAAGTAAGATCAAAAAATGAACCAGATCAGAAAATGCATCAGGCATGGTGGCACATACGTGTAATCCCAGCATCTTGGAAGGCTGAGGAAGGAGGATCATGAGTTCAAAGCCAGCCTCAGCAAAAGCAAGATGATAAGCAACTCAGTGAGACCCTGTCTCTAAATAAAATACAAAATAGGGCTGGGGATGTAGCTCGGTGGTAAAGTGCCCCTGAGTTCAATCCCTGATACCAGGGGAAAAAAAAAAAAAAACAAGAAAATGTCAGTTAGGAACCCAGCAGATATTAACCCAGGGATGAAGAAATACCTGACCATTAGTTCTCAAAACTGTCAAGGTCATCAAAAACAAGGAAGACTTAGAAACCATAGGCAAGAGGAAACATAACAATTGAATGCAATGTGGTACTCTTGACTAGATCTGGAACAGAAAAAATATATATATTCAAGGGAAAATTGGTGAAATCCAAACAAAGTCTGGAACTCAGTTGATAGTAATATGATAACAATGGTTCTTTAATTTTGACAAAATACACTGCAACAATGTAAGATAAGAATGTTAGGGGGCTGGGATTGTGGCTCAGTGGTAGAATGCTCACCTAGCACGTGCAAAGCCCTGGGTTTGAGTCTCAGCACCACTAAAATAAAAATATTGTGTCCAACTACATCTAAAAAATAAATATTTAAAAAATAATAATATTAGGAAAAACTAAAACTCTGTGAGGAAAACTGTTTACTGTTAATGCAACTTTCTGTAAATC